CCCCAAAACCCCAAAACCCCAAAACCCCCCAAAACCCCAAAACCCCAAAACCCCAATTTTTAATCAAACGGTTGAAAATAATTTATCTATTTTAGGCATAAATTAATCAAAATGAACACTAAAACATGGAATGACTTAGTAGGAGTCTCGAGAGGTCTCTGGTCAGTCATCCAGAAAGCCCAAACCAGCAGCGTTAGAATCCATAAGATGCCCAGAGTCCCTACTTATGAAAGACTTGATAATTATAGCCAAAAATATTCTGAGAAAATTAGAACACAAAATGAAGAAAGTATTCTAAATCAAGAGCTTTATGATATTAAGCAGGAGAGAATCATTAAAAATGTAGAAAACCAGAAGGAAGAGAAGCTGATGTATGAGGTCAATGAGAGCCAACTTCAGAAGAAAACTCAAAAAGAGCCTAAAATTGATAGTTTAAGCCAAGAATTTACTGAAAAACTAGTTACTGAAGAGCCTGAAAAAGCTAAAGAGGAGGAATATATTGAAGATGAGATCTCACTGAAGGAAAAAGATATGGGATATCATGAAACACCCTTCTATCTAAAGCAAGATAGACCTGTGTTTACAGGAAAAGAAACTAAAATACCAACAAGTCCATCAGCAAGGGCCTTACACTTTGGAGCTCTAGGAATTTCACTAGTAGGAGGAACAATCTCTGCTGCCTTAAAGCAGAATCTTGGGATTAGTAGACCTCTTCCAGAGGTAGTTGGGAGAAGGAGACTAGCAAGATATGCTATGACAGATGATAACTCTAATAGGCTTTCAAATACTTTATGCAAAATGAGAGGAGCAGCTTTAAAGATTGGTCAAATCTTGAGTAATACAGAAGATAGTGTTATTCCCCCATCAATGCAAAGAGCATTTGACAAAGCTAGACAAAATGCAGATATCATGCCAAAATATCAAGTCATTCAAATGCTCGAGAGAGAATTGGGCCAAGATTGGGAAAGCAACTTCAAAGAGTTTAATATGTATCCTATCGCAGCTGCCTCTATAGGGCAGGTTCACGAAGGAGTTTTACAAGATGGTACAAAAGTGGCTATAAAAATTCAATATCCTAACATTGCAAGATCAATCGACTCTGATTTCAGTAACTTTAAAAGACTCCTTAAAGTACTGGGAGCTGCACCAGATAGCCTTTACATAGATGAATTATTCACAAATGTTAAAACAGAGCTTCATGAAGAATGCGATTACATTGTGGAAGCTGAAAAACAAGAGTACTATAAGAAAATGTTAGACTGAGAAAATTACACCAATGATTATTACGTTCCCAAAGTTTATGATAATTTATCTACCAAGCATATTCTAACTCAGGAATTTATTAATGGATTACCAATTGATGAGCTTCATAATTGCCCACAAACTATCAGAGATCGGGCTGGTGAACTTTTACTTAAGCTATGATTACATGAGATTTTTCTACTGAAGTTTATGCAGACAGATCCAAACCCAGCTAACTTTTATTATGATTTGGAGGAAAATAGATTTAATTTGATAGATCTTGGAGCTGCTCATCATTACAAAGAATCATTTGTGCATGATTACTTCCAGATAGTTGAGGGAGCAGTTCTTGGAGATAAAGACAAGATCATAGATTACTCCAAAAAGTTAGGGTTCCTAACTGGAGAGGAGAACAGGGTTATGCTTGAATCGCATTCCAACAGTGCAATGTTCATCGGTGAACCTTTCAAACATCAAGATGCTTTCTTTGATTTTGGAAATTCAGAAATTAGCAGAAAACTAATCGAAGAAATTCCAGTAATGCTCAGGAACAGGCTAAGTCCTCCTCCACAAGAAGTATACTCTCTTCACAGAAAGTTATCAGGCGCATATTTCCTCTGAATTAAACTAAAGTCAAGAGTAAACTCAAGAGAGCTCTTTAGTGAAGTAAGTGAGAAGTACAAATTAGCAAACAACTCCTTCAACACTCCAGCCCATTAAAGAATATTGGTTCAATAAAATACTATAAAATCGGGGTTTTGGGGTTTTGGGGTTTTGGGGTTTTGGGG